TCTATCTCTATCTCTATCTCTCTCTCTCTCTCTCTCTCTCTCTCTCTCTCTCTCTCTCTCTCTCTCTCTATCTATCTATCTATCTCTCTCTCTCTCTCTCTCACTCTCACTCTCTCACTCTCTCTATCTATATCTATCTCTCTCTCTCTCTCATCTATCTCTATCTCTCTCTGTCTCTCTCTCTCTCTGTCTCTCTCTCTGTCTCTCTCTCTCTCTCTCTCTCTCTCTCTCTCTTTCTCTCTCTCTCTCTCTCTCTCTCTCTCTCTCTCTCTCTCTCTCTCTCTCTCTCTCTCTCTCTCTCTCTCTGTCTCTGTCTCTGTCTCTCTCTCTCTCTCTCTCTCTCTCTCTCTCTCTCTCTCTCTCTCTCTCTCTCTCTCTCTCTCTCGTCTTGTCCTCTGCACTGCGTCTCTGCAGATGACTCGTTCAGTTCATGCTCTCTGGTCCAGTCCACCAAGTGTACCGCCCGGTACGGACACGAGTCGTTAGCTCCCAACACCGATAGGTGTAACTGGACATTAGCCAACGCAACTTCCGTCACTATGCCAACAGATCACTCGGGCAACAGCACCAACGACGAAAACTCTACTGTCAGCGGCGATCCCAGCGGTATACCAAGCAGCCAGGCGCCGACCGATCGCCTGGCTAGCAGCACCGGCAAAGATAGCTATTTAGGGTTTTACGTCGGGCCCTAGACGACGGCTACTTTGGCCAACCGGACAACGAAGAAGTTGTGACCAAAGAGAATGATTTTATTTCTTGCGCATGCGTATGTAGAATGACGTAATACTCAGGGAGTGAGGTCGCTACAGTACTCCCCCGCCAGTGGTGAGGTCGGGAGGAGCGAAGCACGATAAACAAGAAACAAGAAAGAGAAGAGAAAGGAAAGCGCAGCATGTACAAGGCGGAAAGGCAAAAATATAATAATATGATACATATGTACAAGCGAGAGCGCTGCGTGTATGAAATTTGTTTGAGACGTGGCAACAAAGGCCGAAACAAAATCAAAAATGCAGAAAGCGGAAATGAGAGAGATGCATGACAGAGGCGGGTTAACATGTCAGAGGTGTGTTAACGTGACAGAGGTGGAGAGCATGTCAGAGGCAGAAAGAAAGAAAAGAGGAAATGTACGCGTGACAGAGGAGTGTTATCGTGTCAGAGGCGGAAAGAAAGGAAATGTACGCGTGACAGAGGAGTATTATCATGTCAGAGGCGGCTGCATCTTGCAGGCTTGGCGGGGTACCAGCAGGAGCGCTGCACTGATGCGAGGCATGCCGAGTGAGGCGGGGACAGATGGAGGCGAGCGCAGCTCCATGGGGTCCGGTGCCGGGCGTGTGCCTGCGTGCGTGCACAGTGAGTGAGCTGGTACGACGGGTGGAGGTGGCCAATTTCCAGCTTGAGGCCAGGACGAAGACGACTGGACGATGTGCCGTGGCAGGATAGCGGGGTATCCAGGTGGGCCGGGAGGGTGGCAGGGGCCACAGCAGCTCCGAGGCGGATCCAGTGACGAGTGGTGGTGAGGCTCAAGTTTTACGTCAACAGCCGGCGATTGACGGGATCCCGAGAGTTGAGGCGAGCAGGAAACTGCGGCGGGCCGAGCTCAGGGATGGCATGCTCAAAACTCCGAAGAGCGCAGCGTCAGGGGTCACCAATTTAGGGTTTTACGTCGGGCCCTAGACGACGGCTACTTTGGCCAACCGGACAACGAAGAAGTTGTGACCAAAGAGAATGATTTTATTTCTTGCGCATGCGTATGTAGAATGACGTAATACTCAGGGAGTGAGGTCGCTACAGCTATACTGCAAGCGCCAGCAGTGCTAGGCCAACTCGACCAACGACGCAGGCTACACAACGTACCAATCTACCGACCGCCACTTCAGTCTTTGGCCATGTACCAGCCGTTACTATGGTTACAACTGCGCAAGCTGGCCAGGAGCACCAGACTATCACCAAGACAACCAATGCTTCATGGTGCTACACGACTGCGGCCGTGGCTTTGCTTGCTTTCTGGTCCTTTTTGTTTCTCGTCAGCGTAGCAATTCAGGCCATCGACTGTTACAGGGGTAGAAAGGTACGTGAATGATAAAGAATACCGAGTATGCTACCCCCCCCCCCCCCCCTCCCTCTTCGCTCTGCCATTACAGTGAGTGCGTTTGATTACACACTTGAATCGATTCATGAATCCATTTGCATGCATTCAAGTCGTTCGATTTCAGATCATGAGCCCTGGAATCGATTCGGAATCCATTCACTCTATTCACATGGGGTGATGTGAATAGCGCGAATCGATTCATGAATCGATTCGTGAATCGATTGCGTGCATAATCGAACGCACTCAGTGGGTGCGTCCGATTACGCACTTGAATCGATTCATGAATCCATTTGCTTGCATTCAAGTCGTTCGATTTTCATGTCATGAGCCCTGGAATCGATTCATGAATGGATTCATGAATTGATTCGCGGGCATATTAAATCGAACGCCCTCAGTAGAACTCCCTGGATC